AAATCAGATGTGTATTCTTTTGGTATCATTATGTATTTGATTGCTACTGGTGAACCACCTTTTAGAGATAGGAAGTTCAATAGAGATTTAATATGCGATATTATAGGTGGACTAAGACCGTCGATGCACCAGTGGTGTTGTGATGCCGATCCTTATAAGCGATTTGAAGATGGAAGGGCACTTTGGGATTATATTATCGAGCATATTGACAATATTGACAAGAATGACAACATGTGGAATACCGTTTATCATAATGATGTCAAACCCTTATCACGTTTCGAGAAGGAGAGTAAATATTCTAGCATGCTCTTACCTACTGGAGATATGCCTAAACCAAGAAATAGTTATGATTTGGATTTAGCTGCAGGTATGAAGACAACGATTGGTTATTAATGAAGTCAATCTACAATATTAACATCGTCCACTGCATATGATTTAGTGACTCAAACACTCTTTGAATAAACTTGTAATTGTCATGCGGGAGAGCGGATAATAATCGGCACTTGGGGCGTGGCGCCTCCTACTCTAGTTAAATTTCTAAATTCAGTTAGTGACCTCGTTAATTCAGGGGTTTCCACTTACGAACAATTTCGTCGTAAACGACGTTAATCTTCGATATGTTAATCGTACTTGAGTATGTCTATCGGTTACTATCGTGGGATAAATTCGATAGCCTCCCGTCTGGTATACGAATATAAATAACGCGTTTCTTAAATAACGATTAAGTATCTTAACTCACCACTCGGGACAAGAGGGCAATCACCCTTCGTTGATATACAGATTAATGGTTTTCAAATATATCAACTAATTTAGAGAATAGGGTATCAATAATATAAGTTCAGAGTAAATGCGATACTCGTTTATTAACAATAATATTTATGAAATAAAGGAATACCGATTCTAGCTGAAATTCATGCTGCTTATCTTTTTGATCGGACTAATTGAGCTATTTTTAGCAGCTACTTCAAATTTTCTAACGATTATTCTCAGTATACGTCTTTGACTTTTTGCTGCTGCACTGCATTGCTGCGGCATCGCAGAAATTCAGGAGAGAATACGTCACTTATTTGCATCGGTGTTTTTCTCAACTATGTCATTCGCGATTTGGGAATCGAACCTAGCTAATTAATATATCGCTTGATTCATAATCGAATATACAACTTACCTCTACAACGGTCACAGGAAATAGATGCTCTCATCTTCCCATTCACGCAAATAAATCTCTTCGCTTACTATCTCCAGCTTATTTTGGATCCATTATTTCTACATCAAGATCAATCTATCGGGTATATCTTTCTAAGTTATAGCCCAGTCATGGATCTTCATCGTGATCAATATTCCCGTTGTTCTCGGGTTAAATATCCAGAAGACAATAACACCTGCTGGGATGTAGTTACTTTGTTGCAAGATTTAGGTTTGTGGATTTCGGATTTATCACTAACTGAATTGTCAATTACGAAAGTTTTGATTACCTCGGATCGTTTAGATCTTGAGCATTATGTTTGTTCTCGTATCTCATCTGTAAAGTAGGAGCGGGTAATAATATATTGGATGGAGATTCTATTTTTCTGGTTGATAGGATACATTTCTGGTGTTTCTTTACAGTTAAAGCAGATGCCAGGACAATTATGTGTTTTTGGTTGCAGGATTATCCATGGATGACGAGTTATCTTGCAAAGTGTTGGAAATTCTAGATCGATCAAAGGTATACTGCAATTCTCGTTTTCCGCCACCCGCTTGTTTGCGTTTAACTCAAGAATAATACTACCGAACAGTTTCTCACCACTAGCTCCGCAACATGATACGATAGTCCTCATTATTATACAGCTTGGTTTACTTCATGCCATGGTGATGCGATTCACTTTAGTAGTAGAGATATCCAATTTGAAAAGATCTTTGGTCCAATTACAACAGCTGAATTCCTAGGTGTCTCGCATCTATTTTCAACTGTTACCGTATTTGGTAGTTTGTAAAAGTTTAAGAGAGCGTCTATATTTTGACCTTTATAAATGATTAGTTTAGTAAAGTAGTTTTAATTATTATAAAGTTCAGCGATTGTGCTAGCATCATTGCGCGAAGCGCGGCAATTGTTTGTGGGTAAGTTTGTGGTATATTACCAGTCGTATTTGAAACGACTTCCAGTGGCGTATCTGGAGCGGTTATACGCGAATTTAGTACGCGTGCGAGATTTATTGTATCTCTAAAATATAAGAAGTATAATCATTGCTTACTTTTCTTATTCATGATATAAACAAAAAAAAACATACATGTTATCAATTCTGTTGGTCAACGCGGTTATCGCCGTTTGGATTGTCGCCAAGGCTCTCGAAATGTCCAAATTTGGGAAGCTGCTTACCAAAGCCGTTTCTTGAGAAAACGTTTGTAAAGCTTGGCTCATGTTGGTGAAATTGGGCTGTTGTCGTTGCTAAAGTAAATAATAACATAATCAGATTTTTTCCTACGAAGCTTTTAAGAAAAAATTTTTTATTTACCATTGGGATAATCGAAATCGTTAGAGAGAGAGAGTCTTTCCGTGGGACATAATATACCTTATTTTTGGAAGTCACATGCTATAGAAACATTTAGAAGAAGCTGCTTAATTTCATGCAGAGTAATAAAAAATATAATTACAGTGAAATTCCTCTAAATGCATCTCCTCTAAATGCATAACTCCTCTAAAGTGCACACTTTTGTCTGGTCCCGAGTTCGGACTTATCTGTTATTGCATATGCAATCGATTTTTATAAATCATATATAGTATCCTAAATGCATATATCACTTGATGTATTATATCAATTTTTCTCGGTGCAGTATAATAATAATGCATGTGCTTTTCTGTCGCGTAAATTAGTCGTCCCGCTCCTATTTTTCAGTCCCGTAAAGCAACAAGTCTTTGGATTCGTTATATCATATCATACGTACAGTATATCTAATCTGATCATGATCATGATAATATTTCAGACAGTGACTTCCGAGATCTGATCTCTACTTTTTAATAAGCCAACCAAATGTTAAACAATGCAAAATCATACCGGTCTCAACCCAATATGCATACAGCTTTTTTCTATCAATAAACTTGTTGATAGACAAAAGATTGTAGATACAAAGGCCATTATTGGCTTTATAACCATCATACCAATCATTTGCATGATACATTAGTTTATTAAAGAAAAGTGGGAAGCTTTGCAAATGCATAAATCTGGTCATTCAAGAAAATTAACTTCAGAAAATAATGCCAGCCCGGGCTTATCATCAAGCAACCATTATACACGTACAATGACTACTGAAATGAAGGCTATCTTGGAAGAAAAGTATCAAGTTAGTGATAGAACATCCATTGTGAGCTTTCTCACCTTTGTTATGTTGTACCTCAGTTATATTAATATTGCAATTCTTCCAGGAAAAGTTCCTCTATTGACAGAAACTAATTGCTTATTGTGGGAACATGATTATGAGCATTACAAAGTTAATTTCGGATAAACAACTCTCCAGATGCTTTACAATATGATATTGGTATGGTCTCGTGAAAAAAAGCCCGTACAACTTATTACTATGTATATGGTAAAATACCCTTTTTACTTTAAAGTCTATGTTTGGGGTGCTATCAATTATAAAGAAAAAGTCAGTCTATATGTCTTTACTGAAAACCTTGACTGCCACTTATATCATCAGATTCTAAATAAACAACTTTATGATAATGCTGATGCATTAGTAGGTGGTCAGTGGGTCTTTCAGCAGGACAATGACTGTAAACATACATCTAGGGATGTCCGAAATGATCTGAATATCATCTTCCACGTACAGGACGCGTTCTCATTTGGCCTTCATATCCAATTCTATTGAGAATACCTGGGTGGTTTAAAAAAGTTTTTAAAAACAATTTTTAGGGAGGTGTACGTGTAAATGCCTATTTTGCTATTTGCTACGGAATTATTTGTTAAACTGAAGATGGATAAACCGAAGATTTCGTTGTTTCGAAGGTTTTTGCCAGAACCAATTCAGTTATTCCGAAGTTTTATAATACAACCCGTTAATCTGTAATCCGAAGATATTCTTCTGCTGTCATTAATTAAAATGTTGCGTTTAAACCGAATTTTTGGTAATCCGAAGATTTTTCGTTAATCTGAAGGTTTTTCATTAATCCAAATTCTGATAATCGTTAAATCAATTTAGTCCCAGTCGAAAATACTTACAGTCGACCCTCCATATATGCACACCCTTGGGAATGAGCTGGAGCGTGCATATATGGAGGGTGTGCATATATGGAGAGTCAACATTTTATTGGTTGCACGTGATATATATAATTTATTTATTTATTTATTCATAATCATGAAAAACAAAATTAAAATACCTGTTTATGGTTGTTTGTTTCTTTGCATTCATCAACTTTAAACCAATGTAGTAATCAAGAGCATTAACATGTTTAAGTAACT